CGCTGGAATTGCCTGCTGCAATTGATTAATTATTTCTCATCTCGTCAGAAAATCCACACAAAAAGAACAAAAATAATAGAAAATTAAACGATTTCGCACCTGAACCACAAAATTGACTTGTTTTTATCTACATCATCAAAAGTGCTTGGTTTGCTTTTACTTGAACTAAATTTGGTTTAAATTTGAGCAATTTTTTCTGTGTTTTGGTGCGTGCGTATATTTTAAGGCGTTGCGTCAAACAATGTGTGTTGTGCCCGATTTAAAAATACCCACACACGATTTTATGTGGCGGTTGGTATATCAAATTGGCCCCACGCACTCTCTACGTCTAGAAAAAATAGTCGCGCCACGCAAATGAACATTTGTCCAGACTGCTTTAATTACCGAGTTGCTAAATTAAATTTGCTCGGCAAACAGTATAATTGCGATGCTGTTTAATTAACGATCATTGTGCGGTCGGTGATTGTTTTTCTAGGCCATTCATTTGCGCTGAGCTCCTCTAATTTGGTCAAAGTTTGCGCAAAAAATTCCAGAAGTTTTCGCGGAATTGGCATAAATTATTCATCAGCAAGTCTGTCGCAGAAATTCCGACCTCTGGCTAGTAGAAATTGAGAAGAAAATCAACAATCAGTTTGACTTTCTATGCCCTTGGAAATCTATAAAAACTCTGACTCAACATTTACTAGAAATTTGAATTCAAAATGAAATTAAATAATCCTGCTATCGTTTTATTGAATGTTTTGAGAGAAATTTTTTACAGTTACAAATCAAACTATTTATGAGTTTAACGAATTTAATTTTCAATTAATTAAATTTTAAATTTCGTTTGTTGCCAAATAAGAAAATATTCTGTCCTATTTATTTTCAAATAATGACTTAACTAAAAACTTTGTATCTAAAATTTATGCTAAATTTAAAGAAATTAAATAATAATTTGTACTTTTTTCTCAGCTTGGCAACAAGTACTTCTCACCAGCACACACATCCAGCATATTGTGCCACACCATTTGGGAATTATTTCGCTTTCAAAGGTCCGGTTTTATCAACCTGAATCAGCACATCCGCGCTCACTCGCTGGCAGGAATAGTATTTTATTTTTGAAGGAAAGGCACGCCAGCGAGCAGCGGCCGCGGCGACGATGCTAGCGAGTCGAAGGCGCTGCTGAATTGCTCGTTTTTTGTTTGTACGTTGGGTTGGTTGGCTGGAGAGTATTTTTACTAGGCCTCCGACATCACGCATCCTAGACACGGCATGCGAGCCGCGGCGTCGCTTCGTCTTCGTTCCCCCGTTTTGTGCCAACCGTCGAACAGGCAACCCTGAGCGCCCTGAACAAAAAACCAAGAAAAATACACACCCTAATTCTCGCATGTCGGCCGTAGCCCGTAAAAGCAGCGAGCCAATATCCTGAATAATTCAATTTTTTTACTGTCGACACTAAAAATTTCTGTTGATTTAGCTGCAGAAGCGCGATTTGATAAACTCTTTCTGCTGCGTCGGTGCAAACTTTCTTCTTTTTTTATCGTCCGAATTCTCCCATCCTTTCGGCGTACTGCACCGCAGATGTTGTAATTCTGCCCGATCATCAAAATAGAGGAAATGGCGATCAGTTTCACTCCACTTTCCTTGCGTTTCAATTTTCTGGGTTCTTCCTCGTAACCTTAAAGACCGAGTGACTCATCAGAAAAGCCCCGCCAAGTTCAAGCACAAGAATGTTTAATTAAGACGGCTCAAAACGGGAGAATTAATTCAGTTACTTCTACTAATTTATCCTTTTGCAAGGTCAAAGTCATTTTTACTAATTTCCACTTGATGTTAATTTAATTTCGGTTTCATCTATCATAGTAACGAAATAACTTAAAAAACTCTTTAAGAGCGTTCAAAATTAGCAGCTAAATTTTGAAAATTCTAAGTATTCATATTTTCTGTTTAAAATATTTCATTTTTGATTGAGGTTTAATTCCTAAAATCATTGTTTACAAATTTTTTCAGAAAACTCCCTTGGATTTATTTCTTTGCAAACAAATTATTAACTTTATTTATTTAAGTTTAATAATTTTATTATGTTGTAGTATTCCTTTTTATTACGCTTAGTTAGTAATTGTCTGAGTCACCTCGATGATTTTTCGAGATTTCTGTGCATGCACGACGCCATTATTTTCAGACTGCGTGCACTCGTATAGTGCGTGTGTGTCTTTCTCTCTCGCTCTCTGTGTGTTGTTGATTTTTACGAGCAAACGGCTGAAAGTTGCTGTGTGTGGGATTTGTTGCTCATCTAAATACAGCAGGCGTAAGCTCGCACAGTGCACTGCTGTGTGTTCTCTCGTGCAAACAGCTCGAATGAAGAAAATTTATCTGGATGTGCGCAGCTCAAAAATAACACACAGGCACGGCACGTATCACCCTATACCGCGTTCACATCCATCCATTTCGGCGCGGCCGAATTGATACATCAGCAATCCTCAATTCTGATGAGAAATTTTCCTCTCTGATGCTCAATTTCTCGTTTGTGTGAATCGAATTTCGATTTTGTCGTGCCTAATTTGCAATCTCTGGAGGCAAATAATTTAAGACGAACGAATCTGACCCACATTCAGGTTGCGACCGCCGCTTTTCAAGATTAATTTATTAAATTACATCTATTTTGTAGACCCAGCAATTATGGTTCTGGTGGAATCAAAACTCAAAACTGAGAATGCAAAAGTGAATTTTCGGCATCTCCTATATTGTGCAGTTTCAGCGGGAAAAGAAGCTTGGTTGGGTCGGTTGGTGGGGCCACGTCATCCCAACAACCCCCCATCCATTATTCCCTAAGGCCGAGCGGCCAGGTATACAATAAGGCGAGCCCAAACGGTCCCTCGTCTCACAATCAGCCGAGAGAAAAATATATATAACATGCCAGAATTTATGGTCAGCCATTCGAGAGATTTTCATCACTTGTTTTGTTCATTTGGACTGGCTGGAATTCCAATTCGGAGAAGTGAATTTTAAATTGGGATCTGGATATCAATGAAATTTAACGGCAACCAGCTGGTTTACGAAGCTGACGACCAAGATCAAAGTTGAAAAGGATGAAAATTTGAATTTTTTGTTTGGAATTCCTCGGTTTATGAGAACCTTTTTATTTTAAATAAATCTAGCGTGGACAAATTTCAAGAAATTCAGTCGGAATCAAAAACAAAAAATGGAATAAACCTTTTATGAAAATTCCAGAGATCCAGTTGATGTTTGAATTTAATATAAATTATTTTATAAGCAAATTCAATGTCCAATGGAATCTTTAAAATTCAAATTTTTTTCAAATATTCTATTTGAATGATTAATTTCTTTTGAATTACAATTTGCTAAAATTCGCTTGACGTTTATTTTCGAATCATTTCGGTTTTATTTGCACTATTTGAATGAAAGCAATTAGCCGATTAGTCTCATAATGCTGAATGGTACAGCCTCGTTGTATTTTCGTGCAAACGAAGCAGTGATGGATGAATCGTAAGAGCGTTTCAGCTCAGGTGCGGGCGAGAATTCTCTTTTGCAATTGATTCTCTTTTCAAAGGGAGGAAGTCGAAATTCCTCTCTCTCTGCCAAACTAAAAAGGATGATAGATTGCCTCGCGGTGAATTGTTAAAAAAAAAAATGCTGCTGATCGAGCAATAAAATCTCTTGGAAGAAAAAATTTTAATACTTTGAGGAGGAAACGCGGAAAGAGTAGTGAGGGAGAGCGTGTATGACGCAAGCGATGATAATGACTGCGAATCACCTTGGCCTCTGCTGCTTAGACGAGCGTGTGTGTCCTGACCTAAGACTTGAGCCTTCTCTCTCTCTCCTCTCTCGCGCTTATTTTATTGCCGTCGCCGTCAAGCGTTAGTTATTTTATTGTAATAATGCAACACGCCTCGCTCCGTCAAATGCTTATTGGGAGAGCTGAATGAAATCGAATGAACGAAATTCCATTCTTTTCGCGTTTCCTTCCACGTCGCCTGCAGAACTGCGGCTGGGAGGGGGAATTAATTGTTGATAAAAACTTTCCAAAGTTGCTGGATTTGACCGAAGGAGAAACAAGTTTGTTTATTAAAAATTAAAGTAAACTGACTTATTCGTAACGGAAGTTTTAGAAAAATGATGATTTTTTAATGCTTATAAAAATATTTATTTTATTAATTTTTAGAGGAATAAAAAAAGAATGAAATTTAAAAAGAAAATGGTAAATAAAATAAACTAAAAATTAAAATTCACTTTATAAATATTTTCTAATTATTTGTTATGTTAATAATTTCAACAGAATTCTTAATGTTTTTCATCAGTGAATATAGGCTAGATTGTGCTATCTACAGTTTCGAAATAAATAAATCAAAACTAAAGCTATAAATAAGTGAGGTAACCTTTGGAATGAAACAGGATTTTGAAAAGGCAGCACACACAGTCCGAACATATATTGACTGAAAAGATTTGTAACAAGCAATTCAAGCGTTTAAATGAATAGCTCGTCTGCGAAATAGAGTAATTTCCAATCGAAGCACGCGGAAAATTACTTTCCAAACAAAGTAGTGAATGAGAAGAGCGTTTTCAATTAAGCAAATGCAAATAGTGTGCTCGTCCGAGCGGCCTTTCAGTCACACACCTTTGCATTTGCACTCGTCGGCAGAAAAGCCTGATGCCGGTCGCGACCACAAAGTATTGACCGGCCGTGCAAAAAAAGCTTTGATCATGCCTGAGTGGATTTGAAATTTTAGCATTTTCACGGGACGCAAATCTGGTAAATTCAAAACGATTTCGGCGTTAAAATAAAATGTAATGTTTTTAGAAAACATACAATTTCTGCTGCCTTTAATTGGGATTTTATTTTATTGGAAGTTAAAATTGAACCCAAATTTAAATTAATTTAAATTCATCCACAATTAGTTATTTATTGATAAATAAACTAAAAAAATTTAAAAATTCAAGGTTTAGATTTTTTCCGTTGAACATTGAAATTAAGTTTGATTTTTATTTTGTCTTGTTGACAGGCTGGACGCCACTGCACGAGGCCTGCAACCACGGTCACTTTGAAATCGCCGAGTGGCTGATCCGGGCCGCGGCCGATGTCAACGCTCGCGGGCTGGACGACGAAACTCCGCTGCATGACGCAACCAGAAACGGACACGCCAAGGTTTGTCTTTCTCTGCTTCTCTGTGTGCATTTTGCATGTGTGTTTTTAGCGAGGAAGATGCTGCTTACATTTGCAGCACGCTCTTAAGTGTGCATGTCTGCGCCGTGCTACACTCTCGTGTGAGAGGAAGAGCGGCGGAGATTACCCTTTTAGCCCTTGTGTTTGTTGTGTACGTACATTATGCCGAAGAGAAGGAGCACCTACTCAAAGAGCCAACCGTCGCTGTTTGGCGCTCGTCGAGCGAATTTGCGAGCAAAAGAGTGCCCGTTATTTCGTTTGCGCTAAATTAAGCTCTTTCATCCACCCGTTCGTTGAAAGGCTACATTCAAATTGATCTCCCTTTAGATCCTTTCAAAATTTTCTGTTTTCAACGTTTTTATATTGTAAATATTGGATTCATATTATCAAGATTTCCAAGTTCCAACAAATTTACAGCTTTTATTTTATTCTCTTTTATATTGGAGCATAAGGGCGGAACAAAAAATTTGCTTTCAAAAATTTTATTGGCGATAGATGATTTCATAAATAAAATTAATAAATATAATTTGTATTCCCTCATGATCTTTGTATTCCAGGAATTTTGAAAATTTAAATGATCAACTTTTTTTAAATTTTAATCCATGATTTTTCATCTAAATTTAGGATTATTTGAAATTTTAAACTTTACTGGAATAGTTTATATTAATTGGTGAAAATGGAAATTTCAAAACAAAGGTTACATTTCAAAAATGTAGCCAATAAAAATCTGACAAAAATACAAACTAATGGGAACTTTATAAAAATTAAATTTTAATTAGTTGCATTTTACATTGAAAGACATAAAAATTTCCTGCTATAGCTCTTTTAATTTATATGTGGGAGTTGAAATCTAAAAACGTAGAGGTCAGTCAAAAGTTTCAGAAGGAAAGTTTGTTCCGTTTCTCGTAGCTCTCTTCGTTCTTTTTATTTCCCCAAAAAAGACATATAAGAGAAATTTGCTCAGCTCGAGGCTGTAAATCCTGCAGTAAGCCTTAATATTCTCCACGTTTGAGAAGTAATCGCCTGCGACGTGCAAAATAAATAAATCCCTCGTCGGGTTCACGAACGCCAAAAATGATTGTGTTAGCTTGAGCAGCAGCGACGGAGGTAAACTCTGGTACACACACACACACACACACACACACTCCAATTTGTTTGTGCTCTCTGCCGGCAGCAGCACAATAATAATACCCTTCCTGCCTGCTGTTGCTGCCGCTTTTACCAGATTAGGTCGCAAAACAATTTCATTTCGCTCCTTTTTACTCCGGCCTGCCAATAACGCTCTCCGACTTGCCTCTTTTTATCGCGGTTCATTCAAAAGAGATATGCACAGCAAAAGCGAGTGAGTGCAGCATAAAAAAAGGCAAAATACAAATGCAGGGCAGTAAAGTGAGCAACAGCCCAGCCAGCGTGAACGGTAGGCAAAAAAACGCGAGAATGGCAGACTGACTCCCTCACCTGCACAAAATGAGCGAGTTGGTGCAGCTGCTCTCTTGTTACACGGAGGACGGTGTGTGTACGGACGTACAGGTGCACTTTTCACACCGGCCCCTGTATATGTAAAATATGCAAGCGTGTGTCACTCTGCCATGCATGTATGCGGATACAACGTTATCTTGCATTGATTCCAACGATATTCGATACGCACAAAACTGAAATGACAAAGCCTTTTATGTCTTGCGGTGATTTTCAATAATAAATTTTGGCACACAAGTCTGAGTATTGAATTGACGTGCGCGCAGGTGGCGAAATATAATTTCAATTTTTGCTTCTTGTTTATTGAAAAGTTTTGGTATTTTTATTTTTTGTGAGGAAATTATCGCAGCCAAGGTAAAATTGCTTGTTAGACATTTTAGCAAAGGAGTTTATAAAATTTCAAGCAAAAAATCTTCTTTGATTTAGTACTTATGACTAAACGCCTTTTAATTTCTCAAAAAAAACTTCTCTTTAAAATATGGAAGAGGAAATATTTGGTAAATTTGTTTCCATTTGTATGATTAAAATAATAAATTGAATGCAAATCTTTTCTTCACGTAAAACTTCTGGCTATGGATTCCAGTTTGGAATTACTTCAGGGCATCAAAATTTAAAAAAAAAATAATAATAATTAAAACAATTAAGGCGGAGGTCAAATTAAATTAAAAAAATTTTTAACAAAAACCATACGTTTCTTAATCAAATTAAATAAATACATTGGAATTATTGACGGGCAAATATATAAATTATTTTTCACAAATACAATTTTTTGTACATTAATTAATTATTCCTTATAATTTTTGCTGACCACTCATTAAGTAGCTTAACTTTTACCTTAAATCTAAATTATCTGATTTTAAATTTAATTAATAAAACCAGATCTTTTATATAATTGCGCAAAGTTGACCGAGCCAGTTTCCAGTAAACTTTAATGCCCCGACCACCTTCAGATTGTAAAAAGTGCACTTCTCCGAGTAACTTTCTTGACCGGTCAGCATAATTTATGCAGAAGAATTAAAGTGGCCAAGCGTCGTAGGTGCGTCATTTGAGTGGCAAAATTACATTTTATGTCCGCACTCTCTCAATAAAAGCGAACCTTGTACATTATAAATAATTGTAGAAAGGAGTCATTGTGTATTTTTATTGCAATTTTCCTCATTGATGATTGTTGTTGTTTGGTTGCAGTTGGTGGAGCTGCTTCTGCAGCACGGCGCCGACCAGCACCTGAAGAACTCGCGCGGCGTCACTCCGAGCGACATCGCGGGCCCGCAGGTCGCCGATCTGTTCGCCAAGTACGGCTCGTCCCAGCAGCAGGCACCTGCGGAAAAAACACCTACGGAAGGTGAGTTATGCCTGCGTGCGTGTTTTCCTCCTCTTTTTTTTATCTGGCCATTATCCCTATCGGCCCCGCCAGCCGAGCCGGCGTCTATATATATTTTTAGATTACGCCGGCCTCGTTTTTTTCCGCTGCCCCTGAACTCGCTCTGCAGCCGCATGAGTTACGACGGAATACGCGCGCGCGGTAATCGAGAAAAATGGGCAATTTGGAGAATTCCAGAGTGTAATTTTGAATTCTTGCATCTATAAATCGCGTTAAGTGGCAACAAGTCACACAGGATGAAAGAAAGGTGTTTGTGCGAAATAAGTGAAATTTGGGAGTTTTTTTATTTTTTATTTTCAATATTTTACTTTGGACACATTCCAACAGTGATTAAAAGGGGACCCAAACTGAGGTTCTTGACCTTCATCTGGGATTAAATTTTCAGGGCCATTTGACATGACTCTTATTAGCATCTTACACGGAAACTCGTAAATGTTCGACATATTTAACAGCAGTTGTTAAATTCACGTATACCACATTTCCCATAAAAATCGCCTCAACCAACTCTCATTGTGGACTAAGTATGAGAAAATAATATTGGCGCCCACCTAAATCATGTATTTTTTTTATTGAATCTAAACTTAATTTAAAGCGTCTGGACATTTTTTAGCAAAATACTTTTTTTAAACTTGGATTTGAGCCTTTAAATCTATTCTGACCTATTTTCCTCGTAAATAAAAGCAACTATTCGGGAATAAATAGTTAAACAAAAAAGCCATTAAATGCAAAATTCTGAAATTTTTATCTCATACTTTCTTCTTCCCACCATTAGTTGTCTTTGTTTATCCCAAAGCATTGAAAATCAATCTTCTATAGATCTTTACGTGATCTTAATCAAGTTTAATAAAAATAAACTGCTCATTCCCACCATGTTAATAAATAATTTTGCAAAATTTACGTTTGCACTAAACTATTTTATACAATAGAAGTTGTCAAGACTTGTTATAAAAAAAAAAAAAAAACAAGGTTTATGAATTATGTAGTAAAATTCTAATATATTCATATTGAAATCACAATCCGCAGAGCTGGAAGGAGGAAAAAATTAGTCCTCGGCCGTTTGACCATCGGCGTACAAATACTGCGCGTAATTGCTTTCCCTGCTCGCGGTGTGTTGGCGTAATTAATAAACAATTTGAGCCGCTTTAGCAAACAAAATGCAAATGGAAACCGCGACTGTACAAATAATTGTCGTCGCTTCCAGCCAGAACCATCCGGCACGTTTTCATTTCAGTCTTATTCGATTGGCGGGTCAACGGATTGAGCGCTCGCTATCTTATCAGTCGCAGCAGCCGGCCCTGACGAAAAAAGTAGTTAGTTGTCCGTATAATTTGTGTCCCCCGGAGAGATTTATTCGTTTCAACGAGAGACCGGCTCGCAGCCATTTATTCCGAGATTTGTCCGGAGCAGCTCGCGGGGTATATTCGGAGCCGTTACTGCTGCAGAGAGGCAGAATGAACTGGAACGAGCGAAAAAATGAGTCTGCTGATCACCGCCAGCTCGCCAATTCAATGAGTTTTTTGCTCCTTCCTAATTGATATTTGCCACGAGTCTCATGCAGACCGATTGTTCCACTGAACTGAAAATTAAGCTGTTCACTCAAAACAAACCGTCATTTGCGAAATGAGTCCAGGAATTTCAATATTTGTTATTCGGAGAGTTTATTTAGTAAGAAATGAGAGGAACGAGGTAAAAATTGGTATTTACATCAACGGAATCAAACAGAATAAAAAAATAGCCATCCTGGTTTTGCCCTTAAAAATTTAGGAAAATTATTTAATTTTTTTCTTACAATTAATGAAACGAAAAGTTTTCCTAAATTTTCTAATCTGAAACTTCTATAAAACTTCAAATGAAATCCATGTAAAACTATAAATTACTGATTTGTGATAACCTCTTTAAATTAGGAATTATTAAAATTAAAATTCCATTCAATTAGTCACTTTAAAAAGAATTTTTTCCAGAAGTTTTTCAAATTATCAAACTGCTTTATGCTTTAAATGATTGAGGATCTCAATTTAGTATTTTGAAAGTTATTGACAGAGAACCTAAAATTATAATCCAGCAATATTTATTATTTATTTTATTCATAACATAAGCCATAATTTAATATTTTAAATTTTGTGATATGCTTTTTAAACTTTTATTTTGCATTTTTAATGCAGACAATGGAATTTCAAATCCAATGTATATTTAAAATTTATATGAAGTTTTATGAAACAAACAATTTTTTGTCACAAATCAATCTTGAGGAGATATCTGTGCACGTCTCCCTGCTCACGTGGTGCATGCACCCAGTTCAATTGTATCCTTTTTCATTCTCGTCGTGCTCCGCACTAGAGAAGAAAAAATAATATGAAATGTTCTCCGGTTGGCACGGCTCGTGCTCTGCTGATTTCATCATTGAAAAATAAAACTGCTGCGTACACAGCGAGAGCGTTCGTTCGAATCGACTGAGCCGAGCGTTAAAACTCCATTTCATCTCTATGTGTGCCCGAACAATAAAGGCAATAATAATAACACATATAAACAAAAGTGCGTCGAGAGCTTATCAAATCGATTCCATATAATATTGTTATCTGCCGGCTCAATCCTCGCTGCGTCACTTTCGCCGAAGAAACTTTGCAACAATAATAATAATTGCTCTCGAACCCTTTAGGTCAGTACAGGAATTTTTACCTACTCTGTTTGCAAAGAACTCGGCGCACGAAAAGAATTTTTGCGCCGTCGGCATGCAAATCGAAAATTCCGATCTGCGCTCCTCGGTCGCTGCGATAAGCAAGCAAAAATATTTTTCCATTATTTATTGCGAGCGAGATGCGCACTCGGCATATTTTTTGCTAAATTTACCTGTGAGAGTTTACGATCGCAAATAAAATTCAAATTGCGCCAAATGGAATATAAAAACTATATAATTTTTATCCGTTCTCCCAAATAATATTGTTCGCCGGTCTATTTTCCACGCCTGTACTGACTGAATGACTGCTGAGAAAAACCAGTTTTGCATGTTTCAATAGATCGACGCACGTCAATGATAAAAACGGATAAAATGAGTGTTTGATTTCGTCCGCGTGGAAGCAATTTATGTTTTTAATATTTTCCTCTCTCGTTGCGAAATTCACCTGGTGTATTATGGAGTTGCATCATGCACCGACTGAAAAAGATTGATGGTGCCCGGCCGGCGTTGATGAAAAATTGCGATTGTGGATGACTCTCGCCGGCCTCAAGGACAATAAGCATCAGTACTTTGCTGTTAAGCTCACTCCACCGAGAGCAGAATTATTCGCTTGGCACAGAGAGTATTTCATGGGAATTGGGCTAATGTGCATGCTGAAAACGTTATCCAAACCAATGGGTTTTGATCCGCATAGACCTCCGCACAAATTTTCACACAATCAGTATCAAAACTTCATATATTTTTTCCAATGTTAAAGAATGAAATGATAATTTGTATCTTATGAGAGAGAAAAAATGCTTCTCATTGTCAAATTCCATTCTTGTGCAAGAATATCAAACTTGCATCTTCTCTAATTTTAAATTATTTTAAGCGAGTGCTGGAAAAATCTATTTGGAGTTAAATCAAATTTAATCTCATCCTTCTAATTTTTTTTAAAATTTCTGAATTATTTTTTATAAAAATTGCAATTATGGACTTTTGCAGAATTCCACATCACTGCAATAATTTACAAAAATTTCAGTTATGTAACCCTTGCAGCTTTAAAATTAAAGCAAATTTTAAAGCTCCAACGAATCGGTCTCTCTAATTAAGCAACACTTTAAATTACTGTTGGTCACGTTATCCCAATTCTTGCATGCGATTCGCCTGTTGAAATTTTTGTCCCTCTCTTTCTGTTGATAAAATAACCCCTTTTTTCTAAAAGCCCAATAGACTATCGTCGTGTTTAAAAGTTTCAACTCGGGTCTGGAAAGGGCGGATCGTGACCTGAACCTGAAGCATTTGGTGCCGATCGGACTTGTTTTGACAAAGAATGCCTTGCTTGCTCGCTCGAAACGCGCGCAGGTAAAAACAAAGAGGCAATAAAACTTTTTGCTCCGACAACCGCAAGTAAAAAGCCACTGTGCCATTTCTCATGGGCGCCCAAATTGGCAAAAACGACCGATATATTTTCGCACGTGTCAGATAATTTCGCCATTTTTGCAGCCCGCGCCAATTAATTCGGCTGGTGATTTTTGTTCACGTGAAGCCCAACTTTTTCAAAGCTTTCGGCGGGAATTTGTGAAGCCCCCCGCGGCGTCATTTAAATTTCAATTTCCTGCTCCCGAAAAAGCCACACGTGGCCGAGTCACTTTGTCTCTCGCAGGTCGATCACTTTGTTGCCGCCTCAGAATCAGCACGCATGACTTGAGCAAAGTGGCAAATTGCGAATTTCCTATACGTGGACACAGCAGAGTTTCAGTGAAATGCAAATAGCGCGCCGACGGACGTCACGCCATTCAAAAGAGAGATGACGAGTCGCCAGGAATTTTTCATTACGCCCAGCAGCAGACACTCTCAAGCAAGAGTGAATCAAATTTATCTGGGCGGCTCAAAGTCGTTTCCTACTGTTGCAAATTGAAGAGCCAGACTTGGAATTTGCTTCGGGGACATGTCATGCCATCAAGTTTATTTGACAAAAAAAAATACCTTTTTATTTTCATTCCTGCAGCAGTTGTGATTTTTTCATAAACAGATTGCTCGTCAAATTTTTAGTATCAAAAAATTTAAATATTCCACTTTTATCAGTTTTACAATTCTCACTTATCTTCAAATGGGGCTTCTTATCTAATCATGGACTGGTATTATAAAACAATTGTAGCAGCATAAAAATTTTTAATTTTAAAATTTAAATCCATGATTCATATAAATCATACTATATATTTTTTCGTCTTTTTAGGAGGTATAAAATTCCTGCAAATATTAAATCCAGATTTGTTAGCCATTTTTTAATATTTCAGACAAACGT